GGGCCTCCAGCCCTTCCCAGGGAGCCCTGGTGGCCACCCTGGGCACAACCAGGAAAACTTACTCTCCTCTCCCCCAGCCCCGGAGCCATTCAAGGGGTAGACCCTGGCCACAGGGCCTGTGCCAGCTCCAAGCCTGCCAGCCCAGAGCCAGCAGTGGCCACCAATGTTTTCAGTGTACAGGTTTTTGGGTCTGTATATAGTTTCCACTGTCTCTACATTAATAGATCTTATTATCTTTCCTGAACAGACTGGTCATGTCAGTGACTTGGATGAGAAAACATTTCAGCTTCAAAGGTTATTCACATGCACACAGATGAAAAACATTGCTACTAATCTAATAATGCTAACTGTGTTATGCTATTGGCAGAACATATGAAGGGTTCATGTCCATTAACTTAAATATGTTGTCTTCCAAATGAACAAAGTGCTAAATGGTAGTTCAGGAGACTACAAAATAAACATGTTGCACTAGGGCTCAATGGGGGATGTGTTATAAAGGCTAGGCTTGTCGAAGGCTATGTCTACGCTGCAGAGCTGCAGGGGCAGATGACCATTGTGCGGGGCCCCGGGCAGCGTAATTCTGTGGGGCCCCCCCTTTGCCATGGCGCATGCGCAGCGGCGCCACGGCACATGCGCGGGGCTTTTTGAAGCGCGGGGCCCGGGGCAGCCGCCCCGTTCGCCCTGCCCTATATCTGCCCCTGGGAGTGAGGGTATGTCTATACTACCACCCTAGTTCGAACTAGGGTGGTTAATGTAGGCAACCGAAGTTGCAAATGAAGCCCAGGATTTAAATTTCCTGGGCTTCATTTGCATCTTGGAATGAGGTGTTCCGGTAGTTCGGACTAGAGAGCCTAATCCGAACTACCTACTCCGTGCTGCGTGTAGCCGCGGGCACGGAGTCCGAACTAGCGGGGATTTAAAAATGGCGGCACCCAGCAAGATGCAAATGAAGCCCGGGAAATGTAAATCCCGGGCTTCATTTGCAACTCCGGTTGCCTACATTAACCACCCTAGTTCGAACTCGGGTGGTAGTGTAGACATCCCCATTTCAATCTCATGTTGAAATCTCTAAACTTTGGAAACTCTGAAAGTCCTTTTCCATCCCTGACAAGAAACACTCCCAATAACCTGTCTTAGCAGGTTTTTAGTCTGCGTGATGCTAAGAAGGCTTCTTATACAAAAATTAGCTACTTAAAAAAATGGAAGGGAAAATATTATAATTTAAAAATAGAACACAAGAACATAACAATGGCCGCATGGGGTCAGAGCAAAGGTCCATCCACCCAGTGTCCTGTCTGCCGACGGTGGACAGTGTCAGGTGCCCCAGAGGGCATGAACCGAACAGGTAATGATCAAGCCATCTCTCTCCTGCTGTGATTCTCCACCCTCTGACAAACAGAAGCTAGGGACACTATTCCTTACCCATACTGGCTAATAACCATTAATGGACTTACCCTTCATGAATTTTTCCAGCTCTCTTTTAAACCTTCTAGGAGTCCTCACCTTCAGAACCTCCTCCCGCAAGGAGTTCCACAAGTTAACTGTGCGCTGTGTGAAGAACTTCTTTTTATTTGTTTTAAAACGGCTGCCCATTCATTTCATTGGGTGACCCCTTGTTGTTATATTATGGGAACAAGTAAATCACTTTTCCTTATTCACGTTCTGCACACTGGTCATGATTTCATAGACCTCGATCCTATCCCCCCTTGGTCTCCTTTTTTCTAAGCTGAAAAGTCCTAGTCTCTTTAATCTCTCTTCATACGGGACCCGTTCCAGACCCCTCATCATTTTACTTGCCCTTCTCTAAACCTTTTCTAATGCCAGTATAGTTTTTGAGCTGAGGATAGGAGCCATCTCTTCTAAAATTAGCACTGTTGTAACACAACATTTCTGTGTTTGGGGAATATTTAGTAGAAGTTTAGTGACATGAACATGTTTAAGACACGCTTGCCTAAAAACATTCTCCGCTAAGGGGAATTGACATGTATTTCCATTAAAAATAATTAGCAGTATGTTGCAATGCCAAGTTTAACAGACTACGCTCAGTGTACAGCAACAGTCAAAAAGCAAAGCGAATGTTAGAAATAATTAAAAAAGAGAGAGAGAATAAGACAGAGAATATTTTATTGCCTCTATATAAAACCATGGGATGCCCACATCTTGAATACTGCGTACAGGTGTGGTTGCCTCTTCTCAAAAAAGATCTCTTGGTATTGGGAAGGTAACAAAAATGATGAGGTGTTTGGAACAGGTCCCCTATGAAGAGAGATTAAAGAAACTGAGACGTTTCAGTTTAGAAAAGAGGAGATGAAGGGTGGATATGATGGAGGTCCATACATTTATGGCTGGTGTGGAAAAAAGTGAATAAAAAAAGTTATCTACTTGTTCACACAACATCAGAACTAGGGGTCACCCAATGAAATGAATAGGCAGCCAGATTAAAACTAACAAAAAGAAGTTTTTCTTTACACAGCGCACAGTTAACCTGTGGAACTCCTTGCCAGAGGATGTTGTGAAGACCAGCACTTTAACAGGGTTCATAAAAGAGCTCGATTGATTCACGAAGGTTAGGCCCACCAATGGCTATTAGCCCGGATGGGTAGGAATGGTGTCCCCAGCCTCTGTGTGTCTGGAAATGGATGACAGAGGAAGGGTTACTCAGTGATTCCCTGTTCTGTTCCCTCCCTCTGGGGCACCTGCATTGGCCACTGTTGGCAGACAGGACACTGGACTTGATCAACCTTTGTCCGACCAAGGCTGGCTGTACTTATCTTCTTATATTCTTACACAAATATTGTAACTTACTACAATCACAATTTAGCAAGATCAACCCCTATTTACAGACAACTGTAGTGTGAAGAAATTGCAGTATGAACCAGGATACACCTCTTAGTACAGATTTTCTATAAAATTCACAGTCAATGAGATGTTTTATTGTAAAAGAGAGAATTTACCTTACAAGGAAATTTCAGACCCAGAAGACAGCTGTGCAAAGGAAGAAGTTACCATCAACCTGTTTGGAAGATAAGTGCATTTCTTAATTGTTTGGGGCTAGCCATGATTGCAAAGACACAGCTTCTAACAACCGCCGTTCTACTTGCTCAAAAGAAAAATGTCTGCAAAGAGATTATCGCTTGCTTTCAACCAAAGGTCCCCCTTCTAAGACCTAGCCCAACCAATCAAATCTTAAGAACACAACCCTTCCGTGAGGCCACATGCCATACCATGACATTAGCCGTAAACTTTTTAAAGTGTGAAAGTCCTTTTTCCATCACGGACAATGAAAGTTCAAAAGAGCCAAGAGTGGCAGGTTTTATAGTGGATGGCATTAAGAAAGCAGCTGTACACAAAATGGCGATGAGAACAAAAATTAAAGGGGAGACTTTATTATTTACAAATGAGGCACCTTTTGTAAGAAAAAAAAACACCTGGACGATCTGAAATGCAGGTCCTGAGGATGCTGTACAGACCAGGTTTGAACGAGCTGGGACACAACGGAGTCTTACTTTTAGGAATATTTTGGAGAAGTTCAGGGACATAAATTAGTTTAAGATACTCTTGCCGAAGGCTGAACAAACACCAGCTTCTGGGCCAGATTCGGTCTGCCAGGGTAAACTTCTGCATGCCCCCAAATGACTATATTTTCCTTCGCCTCCGTGGGTATGGGGAATTGTAGATTTCATTGGCTGTTGCCACTGTTCTTGGCCAATGGGAGCAAGGATCAACTATACCGGTGGAGGTGCATGGAAATATATTGGCAGTAGCCCACCGGGGGAGTACAAAAGCCTACGACAAGTACAGAGGACCAAAAACAGACAGACTAGGCCACAAAATTCGTCTCACCTGCTAAGGGACAGAAAAGGCAACGAGAAGACGGTCTTGAAATGTGTTAGGAGCAAGAGAAAAATTCAGGAGAATGTCGGTCCACGGCTTAGCTGGAAAGAAACCGACTTACATGAGCCGTGAGTTGTAGAATACCCCTTGGGAGAGACTGGGGGTTCTCATGCTCTGTGGCTGCTGTCTCAGGTACTGGGGCACCCCAAGGGAGTGCGACAGAGGAAGAGAAGGCTACAGGGCTTTATGCAATTAGGTGTCAGGTCCTCAACTCATGCCCCACAGCCTGGAGGGCTCCGAAGATGCCGTTGCATGAGACAAAAAGCCGAGATTTGCAGGTGATCCCTTGAGTCCGGCCACGGGAGCCCTTTGAAACACACGGAGCCATGTCAGAGGGCTTGGGACGTGGTGGAGAAATCGAGCCGGGGCCTCTGAGTGATTTCAAGCAATTTGTGAGGTTCAGCACTGAAGGTGTTTGAGAGATTCGAAAATCTGGAGAGGCGGGGTCTGGTTTCCTAGCACTCAGCCCGTTGAGTGGGGCGGTTTGCTCCACAGTTAGCCATGTCAGCCATGTGGCAGGTCCCAGTTCCAGCACTGTCCATTTAAGGCCTTCCCCGAGGTGCACCATTTTGTGGGTGACATGCTCTATACTGTCTGGGAGAATTTCTGCTCTAGGCTCTGTGCCCGGGCTCCAGGAACCCACAGGAGAGTCCCCGTCCCCTCCTCGCTGCTCTGAGACGTGCACTGGGGGGGACGTAGGGAGCCCAGCCAAGCCAGCGGGTGACTCGGCATCGCCCGCGTTCTCCACCAGATGAGCTGTTGAAGCAGAGGAGATGGGTGAGCTGCAGATGAGCCAGAGGGCAGGGGTGCAGGATCCTGGAAAGCAACAGGGAATGGGGGCTGTGTGGGGAGGAGGTTGCTCTGTTTGAAAGAAGCCTGCTCTAGGCTCCTTATCCTTGAGAGAGGCTGTTCTCCACCCAGCAGCTCCCTCCTTTGCCTCCCCCACCCCACACTCATACACTTGACAGGAATTTGATGCTGAGGTTTCTGTGGGCACCTGCGCCGTGCCAGCTCCCCATGTGGGCAGAGAGCACGTGATCTCCGGTTTGCGGCCGGCTCTATAAATCCCCCAGGGCTGAGGCACAAGCTCTGTTGCTTTCCCCAGACAGTGACAATGCTGCTCCTGATCCTGCTGCCCGTGGCCTTTCTCCTGCCCCCCGGCGCTGGGGCTGGTGAGTGTGGGGCTGCAAATCCTGGCTCCTCCCCAGAGCCAGATGATTCTGCCGGGGTGATGGCTGGTTCCTAGGACACAGCTCAGGAAGGGTTTAGAGGTGTGGGGTGATAATGGGGCCTGGGTGGTGGAGCTGGTCCTGAGATAAAGCCCCAGAGGGATGAACAGAGGGACACACCCATGGGATTCTAATTAGGAGTTGGGAGCAGGCTCAGAGTCACTCTTCTTACCTGGGGCTCTTGGATGTATCCCCCTGAGCTCCAAAACCACAGGACCCCAGGGCTGGCAGAGACCTCAGCAGTCACCGAGTCCAGCCCCCTGCCCAAAGCAGGGCCAACCCGGACTCAAGTCCACTCCCAAGAAGCCCTGGTGGATGGGGAATGTGAGAAATCAGCAGGGGGTGATTCAGCCGCCTTCTGGGTGCCAGCGCCCTTAGCGAAATCCCGTGGGAACCTGGCCTTACGTCCGTGTGTTTGGCACCGATGCACCTCCCCGTCAGCCCTGAGTTCTTGGTTTCCCTGCCAGCCACATGGGGTGTCCCCCATCCCCTCCCTCACCCCCAGTGACCTCCAGGGCTCCAGGCAGAGGGATACCACAGGAAGAGCATCACAGAGGAGGTGTTGAGGCTGGGGGGCTCCCTCTTGGGATGGGGGGAGGGACTCGGTCTCAACCAGACGCAGAGGGAGGACAGCACCTTCCTATGCCCCCGTTCTCTCCCAGGTGAGATCGTCGGGGGTCATGAAGCCCGGCCCCACTCCAGGCCCTACATGGCCTTTCTGCACATAAGTGGAGGAAGAGTCCGTACCTGCGGCGGGTTCCTGGTGGCAGAGAACTTTGTGCTGACGGCCGCTCACTGCCAGGGGCGGTAAGTGCCTCTGGGCCAGGATGTGGGGATGGGTCAGACAAGTGGGGCAGGGGGAACTGGGAGCTCTGGCATGGGGGGCAGGAGGTGGCCAGGCTGGGGGAGCAGAGCTCAGGGGTCTCACCAGCTCAGAGGACGTTGGCGAGTTTCTAGGGGCCTCTGCGACCCACGGCCCAGCCCCAGCGCTGGATAAATGAATGGGCTTACGGCCAGTGACCCCAGCTGGGTCTACCCCTTTGACTAGCATGGGGCAGGAAAGGGTAAAGGGGGAATTTCCAGCCTAGACACATTTCTGGAGCTAGGTGGGAGGGAGAGTTGGCTGGCGTGAAAGCTGAGCCACGGCCAGAGAGCCCCAGAACGCCTGGCCCCACAATGTCAGAATTTATGCGACAGGAAAACACGTGTCCGTCCCCTGCCACTAACATCCCACGTGCTGCTCTCGCCTTGGCCAGAAATATCACAGTCGTCCTGGGAGCCCAAAACATTAAAGAACAGGAACCCTGCCAGCAAGTGAGCCAGGTGAAACGGCAGATCCCCCACCGGAGTTTCAACTGGGAGAATGCAAACAATGACATCATGCTGCTGCAGGTACCACCCCCATCTCATCCCCCACCCCCAGTGACCTCACACTGCTGCAGGCACCGCCCCCATCCCATCCCCTACCCCCAGTGA